TGCTGACTGTGAGGTACAGGGTCAAAGTTTACTCAATGATGACGAATAGGGGGCGGATCGAACCGCGCATGTGTTCGCCGTCCGCAGCGGACGCGAACACGCTATATTTGCCGGGAACTGTTCGCCGGCGAACCGTTCGGTGCATCACTAATTACCAGTAGTTTACCCAGCCATTTTTTGTACCCATCTCTCTTTTTGAATGTATTTGTTATATTTATTGGAAGGTTGATTTCCACGGACAATTGGCATTTTATTTGATTTATCAGATGTATTTTTTGGAAAGGGGTAGAGGACCTACAATTCCTGGCTATTATGATTTTGGCAGCTACCATGCAGTGTATAGCTATACATCTATCGTTGCAAATTTTGAGTTTCCATTTTATATGCAGGAGAGCTATTGCCGGGGTTTTATCTAATTTACTCTCTGTTAACTTGTGGAATATGTTGAAAACCCAATTCCATAAAAGTTTTACTATAGGGCAAGACCACCAGATGTGTGTATATATGAGCCCGCATAGTTAGCACATCTCCAGCAAGTAGAGCCATATTGTGAGAACATCTTGGAGTCTCATCGGGGTAAAATACCACTTGTACATAACTTTGAACTGGCATTCAACTAAATGTAAACAGTGTATATTTTTATTGGTATTGGATAGAGATAGACACCACTCGTGGTATGGCTTATCATTTAAAATATCTATAAGAAGATTAGCTCTAGTGGTAACTTTATTAATCGTATTATACGTAAAAATGTTTTCTAGAAAACTCGAGATTATTTGGGAAGAGTTAAAGACCCTTTTTTCCATAAAATTTTTAACTCTTAAATAGGCAAAGATTTCTCTGCTAGGGACATGGTATTTATCCGAGATTTCTTGGAAAGACATTAGTTTGTCCCAATGCATTATATCAGAAAGTTTGATTATATCGTTATTTGGCCAGTGTCTTAACAAAAAATCCTCTATGTTTTGTTCTAATACACTTAATCTACATGATTTTGGTATACATTGTGTTATACCTAGAGCTTTTTTTATTTCTTACCAAACTTCTAATATTTGTGATAAAACTGCAGAGTTAATTTGTGTCGGGTTATTAGATTTTTTCCTATTATCTCTTCACATATAATGTTCTAATTTATTTGTCCCTGCTGCTTCCGATTCAATGATAAACCAAGATTCAGTTGCCATTTGATCTTCTTGTAGTTTAGATAGATATATATGTGTCTGATTATATTAGCATAGTAATTGTGTTTTATATTTGGGAAATTTAGACCTCCTTTACCAAATTTCTTCGGTAAAATTGTTTGGCTTATTCTTGTTTTTTTATTCTTCCATATAAATGCTGTAAAACTAGCTTCAATCATATCCAACCATCTTTTAGGCATTTTGAGTGGTTGCATCGAAAACAAATATGACCACTTTGGTAATATATAAGAATTGATAATATTGATTTTTCCCACCCAAGAAGTCTCTAGATTTTTCCACTTTTTTAAGTTTTTATTTGTATTTTTTAATAATTTCAGGACATTTCATTTCATTGTGTTTGAGACCTTAGCAGGTATTACCATACCTAAATAATTAATTTCTTTTTTTCGTCCATATAAAATCATATTTTTTACTTAGTTTATCTACAGTGGGGTTGTCCATGGTTTATATACATTGCAGTAGATTTCGTAATATTTAGTTTGGAATTTGAAACTACACTATATTTGTCGATATCCTGCATTAAATACATTAACAAATCTTCTGGGGAAGTAATTGTAATGATGGTATCATCCGCATACATTGACATTTTTATATCTGTATTCTTTGTTTGATATCCCTTAATATTATGATTTTCTCTTATATTAATAGCCATTGGTTCAACTGAAAGTATGTATAACATAGGTGATGAAGGACAACCTTGTCTGGTCCCGTTTTTTAGGTCGAACCAACCCGCACATATATTTGGTCCTACTGTTATGGCTGAGTGGGCAGAATAAAGAGCCATTATTGCTGTATGTATCCATCTCTTAAGCCCAAAGGCTTTCAAGACTTCTTAAATATCCCCACCCAATCCTGTTGAATGCTTTTTCTGCGTCCAGAGACAGGGCTAGGAGGGGAATTTTTTTCTGTTTGACTGATCTAGGATGTCCAATATCCTTCTCGCGCTGTTTGTTGATAATCTGCCTGGAATAAAACCAATTTGATGCAGATGAATTATTTTATTTATAATTAATTTTATTCTTTCTGCTAAAATGGAGGCATATATTTTCATATCAACGTTTATCAATGAGATAGGTCTATAATTGCTAACATCAGAACTACCTTTTTGTGGTGTTAAAATTGGTATATGTTATCCACTATCTCATTGAAAACATCGGTTAAAGGTTTAATCAAAATAGGTTTCATTAATTTATAATAAAGATAAGTGATCTGAGCCCGGAGTTTTATTCATTTCTAATCTGTCAATTTGTTCTTCTACTTCAGCCGGGGAAATTTTTTTATTTAGTATTTCCAATTCATGTAGAGAAATTTTTGTAATCTTAGTATTTGTTAAATAATTTTGGATGTCTGAGGGTTTAGGGTTAATTTTAAGGTTATATAAATCACTGTAGAATTCATTAAATTTTTCCCAATTTGTTGCGGCGAAATATAGATATTATGTCCCTCCATCAATTTATCTACCCTATTACTGGAATTTTGTTTTTGCAATTTTTTTGTTCAATTTTTACTGGCTCTATTGCCTGTATAGTAGTTATTTATATTTAATTTGTTTAAATTTTTTTTTACAATTTTTTTTCTTCCAATTTGTTGTTTATTTTATAGCGTAGCTCTATTAATGATAATTTTCTTTCAGTAGTTGGTTGGCTTTTATTCAGGTTTGATAAGTTATAGTATGTTATATATAAATCAGCTAAATTCTTCCCACTAGTCGTTTTCTCCATATGCCCCATTTTAATTAAATATCCTCTCATTACAGCTTTATGTGTGCACCAGGTAATCGCTTGTGAGATCTCCAGAGTTATTCTCTTCAAAGAATAATTTTAACAATTTAGTCAGATCATTTGTTTTTATCGTTCTTAATAAGTATATCATTTAATCTCCATGTGGTCCTATCGTATGATTGTGAGTTACCAAACTCTGTTATTATGAAACTATGGTCAGACCATGGATTGTCTTTTATTTTGATTTTATTAATAAGAACTAAATAATTGGCATTAAGTAAACATAAATCAATTCTAGAGTATGAGCCGTGAGCACTTGATAAATGGGTATAGTCTCTATCTGCGGGGTGGAAAGTTCTCCATACATCATATATGTCATAACTTTTACATACATTTCTTAACTTTATGGATTGTTTAATGACTCTTTTATCAAGCTTAGTTGGTGTCTGATAAATCTTAGCCATTTTGGGATCAAGGACACAGTTGAAATCATCTGCTATAATTAGAGTGCCTTTTAATACTTTGTGGACCTTAATCATTATATTTGAGAATATTGACATAGGGTCAACATTTGGTAAATAGATGTTGACTAAGGTAAATTGTCTATTTTCTATATTTTAAACCAAAATTAAATATCTGGCTTCTTTATCTGCTTCTCGATAGAAGATATCAACTTTAATTTCTTTGGCGAAGATAATTGCTACTCCTCTTTTCTTTTTTGTTGGTAAAGAGGCCTGTCTAATTATTGGAAATTTCAGCCCTCCCCATTTCTGCTGGGAACCTTGCAACCAATGTGTTTCTTGTATAAAGCCAAATTGGATATTTTCATCTGTTAAGGAATTGTATAACATATTTCTTTTTTTTTATTTTATAGTATTTAAACCCTGTGCATTTATAGACATTAATTTAAACATATGTACAAATCAATCCTATTATCTTTAGAAAACCTACTCTGAAAAACTCTTAAACACCAAAATCACCACTCATACGTAAATGACCCACCCTTTTGTGTGTTGTCATTTACACACAACCCATTATTTCCTAGGAACCTTGTTCAATTCATTGAGTCACAAAGGAAAACAATGTAGGGTCACTACATAAAGGGTCACTAGGAGTGGTTTGGAATTACATTATAAATATTCTTCCCTTTCGTCTTCTCCTCCCCTCTCCCCCCTCCATGCTATTATACCTTAAAAAAAATAACTTTATACATATTCATTTAACGTTTGGACCACTTAATCATATTTTCCGTTAACTCCTTGTTTACCTTATAATGGTTTTACAATAAATGTACTTATTGATCTAGAGGGTTGTATTTCCTTAACAGGAAAAGTGCCTATCTTTGTGCTGTTTTATTTTATATGATAACTCTTAATGGTTCTTTATGGTGACCCTTTATTCCTTATCTTCTTTAACATTTTCAATCATTTTAATATTTTCCCCAACTTGATCACCCCCCCTCCCCCCTTATTCAACATAACCTTATTATTTTAGTTTGTTAACAGTCCTATATATTATGACATTAGTGAGTAAATATTTTTAAACTTATGGTGATTTTTACCCTTATTTGTTTATTAAAGTATTTCATTACATTAGTATTCACATGAAATAGTGGCTTATATTACCTTTACTGGAGAGGGTGTCTATATTTATGCTAAATTATTATTTATACAACTTCATCGTGATTCCTCATGGTGCACCTTTATACCTTATATTCTTAACATATAACTACATTTTCAATCATTTTTGAGAAAAAAAAAATTATCTTTTCGTGTATCTTTTCTTTGCTCAAATCTCCTATTGATCATTGCAATTTTTTTGCTTTTAGCCAAGCTGCTAGTTTCTCATTCGAATCAAACAAATCCGTTTTTTCTTCAAAAGTAAAACTTAATTTTAGTGGATATAACCATTTATGTTTTATATCATGCTTCCTAAGAATTTGTATAGCTGAACTGAAAGTTTTCTTTTTCATTCTAGTGTTATATGATAGCTCTGGGAAGACTATCACGTTTTGATAACACCCTGTTTTGATCTGTTTATCCCTAGTGGCTTTTAACACTTTTTCTATAACTTCAAATCAATAGAAGTAGGCTATAATGTCTCTGGGAGCTTCAGCAGGAACATTTTGTGGTTTGGACAGTCTATGGCATCTTTGGATGGTTTCTTCCTGTTCCTTAAAAATTAGACCCGAAGCGGTAAAATATTCTTTTCGGGACTGTTTTAAATCTTCGGATTTGCTAGTTTGTTCAAAATTTCTGAAGCGTAAGTTTTTCCTTCTCAGGCTATCTTCCAGATCATTTGTTTTGAATTCCAGGTCGTTTAACTTTTGAAGAACTTTTTCATTGACTTCTTTTATTTTATTGACGTGGAAATCCAGAGCTGTAAATTGGTCTTCGAAGTTCTGCATTTTTGATGCTAATTGATTTATTTCATATTTAATTTCTTGTTTTATCTCCAGAGCATTGGTTGCCATTTCTTTCTTAAGTTCCATCAAAATGTCTCTCAGATTGAATTCAAGTTGGTTTATTGTAACCATTTCTTTGTCTTTTTTGCCATCAACTTCCATACAGTCAAAGCTTATATTTGATTCTTCCATATTCTGTTTAGTGTTTTTTAGAAGCTCTTTGCTGTTGGGGGGAGAAGTATGTTGACAGATTTTTGTCTTGTACCAATTCTTTTTTTTCTTTTTTTGTGTTAGTTTTGGAGTCTTGAGTCTTCTTGGACACCATTGTTAGCTTTATTACGTACTTGTAAACTCGGCTCCTCCCTCTCCTCTCCCTCTCCTTTTTCTCTCACCTCTCTCCCTTCTTTTATTATTATTTCTTGTTTTTCAGTGCACCTTATTGTTATAAGGGAAGAATAAATTTGCTGTTTACTTCGTTGCAAGTTTGAGTATTTTCTGTTAAGCCAGCACTACTCCTGGCTTCTTTAGATGGAGTTATGTATAAACTTAGGTTGGCGCTATAACAATAAAATCTAATCTAAGTCCTTATTACATGGAAATGGCCAACGATAATCATGCTTCAGCACATGATTTTATAAGGCTTCATCAGTTTAGTATCAATCATTTGAATTGTTTACTATGTGCAAAAGTAAAATATAAGAAGAGAACGGTGTTTCAGATCTATTTGCCGTGTGGTAGTCGTGTTCATCAATCCCGGTACACCGCGATACTCGGCAGGCGTTCCTTCAGAGTACTTTCCTTTAGTTAACTTGTTGCCTTCAAGAGGCCGGGTAACGGGGCTTGGCCACAGCTGATATCACGTTGGAAACTGCTGCTTGTTTAAGCTTGGACGAAAAGAGCCGTACAGGGAGAGATTCGGGGAGAGAGACTCAGAGACTCATTACCATGCTCCCCTCCATGGAGGTCGCCCCTCCTCTTCCGTCAACACGTCATGATGCCCCTCTTGGTCCTTTTTTAATCTCCATCTACATTGCCTCTCTCAGTAACCTTATTAATTCCTTTGGATTTCAATACCATCTACATGCTGAAAATACTCCACAAATATTCTTCCTTTATGTATCTCTCTGCGTGTTAATAGGACACATATTACCCCAACTCCTCAAGCTTGCTGCTTGGAGTTACGTTTGACTCAGGTCTTACCTTTTCTCCTCACATCCAGTGTGTCTTCAGATCCTATAACATTCAAATATATTGCCTGCATTTGCCCTTTTCTAACTCAGGATACAATTAAGGCATCTTTTTCATGTGCTCATCATTTACCAACTTGACTACTTTAACTCACTACTCATTGGCCTTACTAACACTTGCATTGCCCCTCTCCTGTCTGTTATAAATGCTACCGCATTTAGGAACACTATAGAGTCAGGAACACACGTGTACTACTGACGCTATAGTGTTAAAATCACCATTTAGGTCGCTCGTCCTGTTAACCCCCTTAAAAGGTAGGAAAACTTACCTTATTTCCAGTGTCGCACTGGTCTGCCGGCTTTGGCCCCGCCTCCTTGCTGACACCGTAAGCATTGCATTAAATCGGCAAGGAGGCGGGTCCAAACGCAGTCTTGGCCAATCATCAAAACAATCAATCTTAATGAGGAAAATGCAGTGTCTCCATGCTCTCTGAACTGTGCAGGACTGCCCCAGGAAACACCTCCAGTGGCCATCTGAGGAGTGGCCACTGGAGGTGTCCCTAGGGGGCAATGTAAACATTGCCTTTTCTCTGAAAAGGCAGTGTTTGCATGATAATGCTTGAAGGTAATGAGTATACTCAGCAGAACAACTACATTAAGCTGTAGCTACAAAGCCATCATTAAAACCATCCCTTACTACATTTCTAGGCTTCAGCTAGCAGTCAAGGGTCTGCTAGCTGAAGCCTGACAGAGAACAGCAAATCTTACCACGACGGAGGAGGTTGAAGCACGAAAAAAGGCACAATAAAAAGCAGTTTGAAATGAGGCAAAAGCCAAAAAGCTGGGTGAAGTGAGTACAATTTTTTTCTAATTAAGAATATCAGATTGAATCGCTTGGCTAATTAAAGGATTATGGCTAAACGTTGTAATAAAACAGCTGAAATGAGATGGAGAAAAAGCTGAGAGGGATTATTTGCAAACTGAAGTTTTTTTTATAGAATGTAAGAAAGAATATTGCTGTGAGACGAACTTGGTGAAATTCCTGTGTGGAAATTAAAGGGAATATCTGTAAACAGCAGTTTCAAATCCTATTTACGGAAGAATATTTCTGAAAACGAAACAGTATGTGAAATATCTGCACTGCAATTAAAAAGGTTAGACTGAATGTCTAAAATCAATTTAAAACACATTGACCAAAAAAAGCAATAAAACAAGAAGAGAGAGTGGGAATATATGCAAACAATAGTTTCAAACAGTATATAATAGTATTTGTGAAAATATTTAGCTAAAAGCAGAACCTAAACCTGTAATTCAAAGTGACTTCATAGAAGAATATAGGCCACAACCCAGAGAAGTTAAGTTGCTGTTTTGTTTGAAAAAAAAAAAAGTTTGTTTTTAAAGAAGCCTAATTAAGTGGGAATCATTTTTCAACTTTTATTTGCAAAACCTCACCACAGTAATGGCAACTAGAAAAACAGTAGAACAAAAACAGGACCAAACACCTCTCCCAAGAAGAGATCGGGAAAAGAAAGACATGCAGGACAAGAGACTTTCAAACTTTTTTTCCCCAGCAGCAGATAAAAGTATTTTAGAAATCTCTCAGCTAATTACCCCAAATAAAGCTGTTACAACTAAAGATAATGGAGATGGATATGACAATGTGGGAAAGGAAAACTCAGCAGAGCTGTGAATGATTACTCCAGATTATCTAAAAGAATGCCTAGAGTTACAGCTGGAACAAATAAAAAAAGAAATGCAGGGGAATTATGCTGCTTTAAAAAAAAGCTATAATGGAGATCCGACAAAAAACAGAGGGAGATAATCGAGAAACGGCAAAGGAAAATAACGGATTTAGAAGAGAGAATGACTAATACAGAAGATAGAGGCATAAAATATAATCTAAGAATAAGGAACATTCCGGAAGCTATAACTCAAGACAATTTGGAAACTTACCTTTTTGAATTTTTCAGAGCACTTAAAATTAATATTGATGATAGAGTGGACTTTCTTGAAAGATCTAATCGGATATTTAAACCGAGAACACTACCTGAAGAGCTAACTAGAGATACAGTTATTGCCTGTCATTCTTATACATTTAGAGAAGAAAACATTCTAAAAGCTACAAGGCAAAAGGAATTAGAACAAGGGAAGTTTAAAGATATAAAGGTTTTCCCAGATTTGTCCTTCCAAACAAACAGTTTATGTCAGTCACAACACGCTTAAGGAAAACAATATAAAATATTGATGGGGTTTCCCAACCAAACTTATAGTGATAAATGATGGACTTACAGAGTATTTTGATTCACCTGAGAAAAATACCAAAATGGTTGGAAAATAGAGTGTAGTAAAGCCTAGGATATGATTATGGGATGAGATATTAAGCACAATATCACAATAACTAAGGATACACTAAAATTAGTGGGGTTTTTTTCTTTTTCTTCTTCTTTTTGGTTTGGTTTAAGATTTTGGAAAATGTTTTATATAAGTAAAAAGGATTGTTCAAATAGATGAAGTGGTTAGTAGAACAGTAAGAGGAGCAAAGGGTTTGGAGATACTGGTAAATAGAGCATATAGTATAGTTTGTCTTCACTTTAGAATAGGTGTGTATGTGCACTAACAGAAGGGAGAAATCAATGAATACATAATATAGATTTAGGTATTACAAGGAAATTTTTAACCACGAACACAAGAATTGATAAAACTTTAGATTGGAAATATAATAAGGCACTAAATTACAATTTAAATTGCTAAGATATAAATAATAGAGTAAACATTGAAGTAATCCTGATACAAGTCCCACAGTGGCAACAGGTACTCGTCATTCTCTCCTGGAATGGGGTAAAATCTGTGAATACAGGAGTAAAGAATAGGATGGGACTGTATATACTAGAGTATAAGCCGAGTTTTTCAGCACATTTTTTATGCCGAAAAAGCCCCCCTCGGCTTATACTCGTGTGAGAGTCTGTATTGTGGCAATTTACATTGCCATAATACAAACCAGGAGCCCAGCGGTCCTGAGGGGGGCCAGCAGAAGCTCTTACCTTTCCAACAGCTCCCTTCAGCTCCCCTGTGTAAATCTAGCGAGTCCCGCGGCTGTCAGAGCATTGCCACGGGTTACCATGGCAACGCGGCACGCACACCGCGAGATTTACACAGTGGAGCTGCTGGAAAGGTAAGTAAGAGCTTCTGCGGGCCCCAACTGCTCAGTACAAGCCACTGGACCACCAGGGAATGCCATAGCCCCCCTCCCGGGCCAGGTAACAAGCAGGGAGGGGGGGACAAAAAAAGTTAAGAAATTAAATATTAAAATAATTCATAAAAAATTAATAATACATAAAAATATTATTAAATTAATTATTGTCACATAAAGCTATTATTTTTAGACATTATAATTAAAAATTTAATAAAAATATTAAAATAATAAAAATGCCCTCCCCCCACCCAGTTTACACACACATACTGCATTCATTACATACACACACTCTTTTGGATCAAATCAAACTGTTTGACTATTTGTCTATCTACTCCTTTTAAATTGATTAATAAATTGCGTGCACGCTTTCCTAGAAGTAATTCACACCGGAGGCAAAGTTTCTGATTAGTGAAAAACCTGAGGAATGGTTTATTCCAAGGGGTGGGACCCTTTTTTAAAGCAGAAATACGTCATGTACAGAGTCACAGTTAACATAAAGTATACATTCAACAATTGGTTAAAAGTTAGGAGGTCTTGTCTAAACCCACCCATATTCCAGCTCTATTTTGGTTACACGATGGGAGGGGGAGTGAGTAGTTACTGGACAAAGAAGGGGGAAGGGGCTGAAGGTAGAAACAGTTATTTTAACAGTGATTCTGCTTCTCCATTTTGTTACACGTGGCAGAGAGCTGTTTAGGTGCACAAAGGAAGTGGGGGAGGGGTTAGTAAAGGAAGCTGTTACTTTTACACAGGAGTCTGTTACACAAGGCTTGCTCGATAGGAAGGGGGAGGGGAGCAGGATGAGAGGAGTT